ATATATCAAGCGATTAAAAATGCAAGGAGTTGCGTAATATATAATATTTACCGCATGTGATGGGTATTCGCGCTTCGCCTACAAGCAAACCTGATTCTGTCTTGCTTACTTTTATTTTATTTTAATCGAAAAATTTCTTTTTTTATTAATTATAATTAATGTTAATTTGTCATACTATTGTAAACATGAAAGTTCTGACTATTTCCAGGCGCAAATTCTATTATCAATTGAAAACAAAAGCAAAAAAAAAAACACAAAATATTATCACTTTTAGTAACATATTTGTAACTTATTGGTATAGTTATAAGTATGTGTATATACGTATGTATGTACACGTAAGCATGTAATGTTTATGAAATGAAAGTTTAATATTAAGATTTTAAATTCGTTATCTGGACAGATTTACAGATAGCTAGACTCTGCTGTTGTGTTAATAATAATTAAAAATTCATATATTTTCGTTTACAGCTCTTACAAGGCCTCCGACGAATTAATGCAAAACAAATAAGAACATTATAGTCGGACAAGGCCAACCATTAAATACCCCATATCCCCGCCATTGTATAATACAATACTTATTATACCCTACACCACCTGTTGTACAGAGTATATTAACTTAGTGCGGTTGTATGTAACATGGAGAAGGGCTTAAGATGAACTTACGTTTTATTATACCGACCGATACAGAATCATTTTTTAAATCGATCTAAGCCTGTCTGTACGTCACTTCGTCTAATGTCTGTCCATGCCAATTTGTGTTTAAGCTACAGGTCGCAATTTTTGAGATATTTTAATGAAATTTGGTATAGAGACATATCATCGCCGAAGAACGAACGCTATTGAAAATAGTTCGGCTCGGTCCAATTTTTCGATCAATCCTCATATAACACTCTATTCCGATTAAGTGCCTAAGTAGTAGTATTTTGGCATTCTAAATTGTTATGAAAACGTTAGATCGACTTGGGCAATTTTTGAACTTCCTCTCCTATAGCGAAAACTGAAGTTCATACGACAAAAAGGTATAATTTTCAATGCTTCTTGATGAAAATTACATCAAAATAGTAATTTACCAGAAAAGAATGAACTTTGACAAATTTGGCAATTTTGAATATACTACTACTTAGCCACTTTTGCCGGGAAATTTTGAAAATTACAATTTTTTTCCGTATAACCATTTTTCAGAAATGGACGTTATATGGGGAGCGGTTGAAAAAGTGGGCCGATCCGAACCATTTTTAATAGCATTCGTCCTACGGCGGGAAAATACGTCACTATACTAAATTTCATCAAAATATTACGATCTATAACCTAAATACAAATTACATGGATAGATATCAGACGGATAGACAGGTTTAGATCAATTCAGATTATACACTTTCTAGGGTCTCTGAAGCCCATTTCTTCACATTGCAATTGTTCGTTGAATTATCCTTTATGGATTACTCGAGAATCAGAATAAAATGTTTCCATAAATACAGTTATTATATCATATAATGAATGAAGTATTATATGTGGAGTGATCGATCCTTTTCGCTTACGTCCTTGAATCAAAACATGTTGGTGTATATCAAAATTTCAAGAAAATATCTAAAAAATTACGGCCGATTGAACGTAATTTACATGGATAGACGGGCAGATAAGCTTAGATCGATTTTTTATATATCGTATTATTTATTTATAAAATGATTCTGAAAATCATTGTCTGAATCGATCGGTATAAAAAAAAATCGATCTATCTTAAACCCTTCTGTGTGTTACATACGACCGTACTAACTTAATATACTCTACGCTACAAGTGGCGTAGGGTATAAAAAGGGTTAAAAACATTTGCAGAAATTTTACATACCAACAATAGTGGATAGTAAAGCTACGGGCTCTAAGAGGCAAAAGTAAAGGTCATAAAATTTTCAAAATTATAAATGAATTTTCGGATTCCGAGTTAATTTCCTCAACACTGTCTTTTCATTTCATTTCATGGCTGAAAAGTCTTGTCTGCAAAGATTGATATCGAAAGCTGAGATCAAAGGGAATACAATTTGAGCTGAATGCGCCAAATTCGCTTAAAGCAAAACAAAAAATGCAAAACAATTGAAAATGACAAAGGTACTTGGAAATGAAGTAAAAAAAAAAAAAAAACAGAGGAAAACTTTAAAATATATTTATTAAAAACTGTGCAGAGAATACAAATTTATTTTGAAGACAATTCTAGCTTTCTCTTCCTTATTCGTTGCTATTAGATTTCCTTATAAATGCACTACAAATAGGAGCGAACGCGGTTCGTAATAATTGATCAATAAATGATAGAAAGAAGAACAAATCGTATCGTTTCACAACATTTATTCGTATTGTATAAGCGCGCATTTCAATTAATGCAACAATTTTTTAGCCCAGACTCATGCAATAAGCAATTAATGCAACAATCGACATAGAGAAGAAAACAAAAGGAAAAATATTGTAAATTATACGATAATTAATTAAAAAATCATTTGATTGAATCATTTAGGGAAAAAGCGTCATGTCGCTCGAGACATAAAGTGAACTCTTTGTCGAGATCATAAAGTGTACAGTGACGGGGAGAGAAAGAGAGCATACGTTTATTTAGCCTATTGAGCCGAGAACGTGCTTGTACCATCGTGACGTGACGTGGACCATCTTCAATACACGCAAACAAATGTAATAATTTTGAACAAGGACACCTTTTTTTGAGCATCGCCCTCACAAGACCAAATTTATATTTGACTACGTTGCATGTACAAGGAACCAATATATACACAATTCAAACAGCATTGTAAATATCATCAATTCGCGTAAAGTGATGTTTTAAAGTCTTTACCCTAATTCGAAAAATTGAGCTTGGTGTACAAATAAATGCATTTTATGATGTACTGAAAACGGTACACATGGTAGTGAACGTGTTAAGCAATATTCTCATCGCAATAATTGAAAAAAGGGGAAAAAAAGCTTCTCATTACATTAATTGAAATTAAAAAGCGATAATTATATAAAAAACCTCAACACACAACAAGAACCCAACAAAGAATTCTAATTACTTTCAAGTCAATCAGAAATAAATTGTAATCAGTTTAGAATGCATTTTTTGGTTATCATTTTATCACTGTGTTGCTTTCATTGTTTCACATCAAACAACTGTAAATGTAATGTGTTTGAATATGTACGTACGAGACGGACAGTAGCTCTGTGTTACAAATAAAATCTACCGCAATAAGTCACTTTAAATTACAGAATTCATCTACGATGTTCTACGGTTACTATTAATAAATTATGGACGTAAATTATCCGGGAAATAGGAAAACTCATTATATAAATATTTATACAATGAAGGATCAAAAGCGAACGGATTTATAAATGCATTGAAAGTACGTTGATAGCAGTTAAGAGTAAAAGTATTACATGGACAGACGGAAAGAAAGGCATAACCGTAAAATTCTTTGCTAACACAGACAGAAAAATATAGCCGCAAAATGGTTGATTGCTCATGTTAATGAGACAAAACATATATATACAAAAATATATAAATGTATGTATAAAAAAAAAATATATATATATATCTATATATATATATATATATATAGGTATATGTATATGTATATATACATAATACATAATATGTAAAATAATATATAATATAATATATTATAATATATAATATAATATATATGAAAAGGTGTTTCATCACATCTTTCTAAGCATTGATCCACTTATTGTATATCTGCCTCTGGAAGACTTAACAATAAGCACATGTTTTTAAGCAGACAGATAGACTGATGTGTGTACAAGAAAAAAACAAGAGCATACATAAGCGAAATGAAAGAGATTCAACGAAATGCAAAGAGAAAGAAAGAGAGAGAGAGAGAGAGAGAGGGAGAAATGGCAGTAGAGATTTGGATCAGAAAAGAGGCAATGTGAGAGACAGATGAACATTTTTACTTAGTGTTATCTATCAGGTATCATGTCTTTTGATAACAGAAATAATTTCTTTCTTATGCATTTTTTATAATCAACGCGGGGGATAAAGACGCGTGCGAAACTCTTCATTAGCATAAGTAATGAAGTTGAGTTATCTTCTGTGTGCATCGATCAATATTATTGAACAGCGAAATCTCGAATACGAACTTAAACCTTTGCCTAGAATATTAAACCGGTTCCTAAATGCTTCCTTCTCGCTTTCATCAGGTTAGATTTGATCATCAATTAAATTGGTCCGCAATTTTGCTGTGCCCGCAAAAAAAAAAACCTATACACAAAAATAATAATAAAAAGAAATATATATACAATTTGCATATAATTTTGAGAGATTATCATAAATGATAATTTTTAATTAATACATTTACTTACCTTATTTTGAAAGAAGTTAATAAACGGTGTGATATATAGACAAGAGATTGATTGATTGATTGATTGATTGATTGATTAAATCGAATCGAATAATCACTT